ACTTATTTTACACTTTTTACAGAGTGGGTCACGAAAATATGACGAATGCTATAACTTTTGTTATAGTAAATAATTTTCTTGTTATTTTTATAACATTTTCAAATTCTTTGACTATAATTATTATATAAAGTGTTCAATAAGTAAGGAAACAAGTTTCTATTGTTCTCATTGTTTGTAACAATTGACCCATTTCCTTGCTTACTGAACACTCTGTATATGTATAATATAATTTAAGATTTTAAATAATGACAAAAAAATTAAAATACCAATTTTGTTGAAAAATTTTTAAGAAATATTACCAAAATTATAAAATAATGATTTTGTACAATATGCTGGATCATTTATTAATATCTCAAACTGCTATTTGATCTACCCTTGATCTATTATTAACATAAAATATTTTCAAACAAATACCACAAAATACTAAAAATCTATAACAATTTAGGTAATTGAGTCGGACAGACGGAAGTCAATTTGTGTATCATGAGGGCGTCATTAATAATCCTAAGTGACCTTTATTTAGCTAACTTCATATTTTTTTATCCAAATTGTAACCTTTCCTGTCAATTTCTACAGGGTTGTTTGTAACAATGAGAACAATAGAAACCCGTTTCCTGACTTACTGAACACCCTGTATAGACTTCAATGGATGGTTATCCTATGTGCGTACCCAAAAATATTCTTTACTAACATTTTTTTTGTTATGAAATTATTTATACAGAGTGTTCAGTAAGTCAGGAAACGGGTTTCTATTGTTCTCATTGTTTGTAACAATACACCCTGTTTGTACACCCTGTATAAAATGACCACATGAAAAACTTGCTGTTAAAGTATTTATAATTAAATTTAAATAACAATATTCAATTGATTTTTCAACAATGTTTAAAAAACATCAATATTCTTCTTTTCAATTTAAATTGCTCGATAATTTAAGTTCTTTAATATTATATTTTACGTATTTTTTTATTAAAACATAACAGAATCTTATTTCAAATTTCAAATGCATAGAATTCTTGCGCACGAACTATAAATAATATTATACGCATTTATGTATTTAGATTATCATATATTAAAGTTCAATAGAATTGTTCATGTGAGTATAAGTTATTTTGACAACTAGATATACAATAAAAACCAATATAAAATATATGTATTGTGTTCATAGAGATATTAACAAGTGAAATAAAGTTTCCTGTGTCCTGTCTAAAAAATTGTTTCCACAATATAAATTATTCCTCACGGAAGAAAAATTGAATTTTATAATAATTGTGTAAATTTTGTATTTTTTCTTCTATGGGACATAATTTTACTTTTAACCGTTTATTTGTCATTCATCTACTAAACCTTTTTAAAATATCTATAAAATAAAAAGAGGAGATTCTCAAATTTCTGAATATAACTTCCAAAAGATTCTAGACTACATTAAGCAAAGGTAAAAAAAGCGTTTGTAATTGTTTTTCGAAATTGATCGTAATTAAAAAATTATCGCATTTTATTTTAAAATTTTAGTGTTATTTTTATAGTAAGTCATTAAATTATGATTTTTAGAAACCATATTAAATACATACATACAGGTGGTAGTGATACAAAATTACCATAATGATATTTTTTTATTATATTATTGGAAATGTTTTTGAGAATATTTTTAAAAGACCAGAATATTCTTATTACTTATTTTTATTATATTTTATATTACTGTAAAACATATATTTGTTTTAATTTGGTCAACAAGTAAAAATTCATCGCTCTTAATTTTATTTATTTTGCTCAGATAATTCAGTAAAAAAAGTTTGAGATATAGTCTTCTTCAATAAATGTTAACCAATTGTCCAATGTTATATTTTTCAGTTAAAAAAGCTTTAGAGTTATATCAAGAAGTTATCAAATTTATACTTGACAGCCAAATTGATACCAATTTACAGTAAATACAGTATATAGAATATTTTTGATGCAGAATTGTTCATTTATATTTACACTATAGCATTTTTTGGGAGGATTTTTAACATTTTTAGCCTTTGAATAACAAATGAAACATTAAGAAGTCATAGAAATATAAAAATATTAAGAAGTTATATAAAAGCAAAATATTAATAAACCATAGAATCATTTTTTGTCTTTTTAGAGAATATTTTTGTTATCATGCGACTACATCTCAACCAAGTAAAAGATGATTATTTTTTCATCAAATGTAAATGATTATATAAAACATATCAAATAAATATTTATTACTTTAAATAATTTTTAAGATTATTATAATTCATCAATTATTTATTGTTCTTTCCTTGAAAAATAATATTATGGACTAACAATTAAATAATGAAATAAAATAAATGCGAAAAAAATTTCGCAGTCGGTAGGATTCGAACCTACGCTCCCAGAGGGAATCTGATTTCTAGTCAGACGCCTTAACCGCTCGGCCACGACTGCACCTTGTGTAGAGGAGGGAAATTAAGCGTTATTTGAATTATAGACCCACATTTTATATAAAAACTTTATAAAACTGACAATGTCAAATGAAATAAAAATGTTATGTTTAATTTTGGACAAATTATTTATATAAAAATAAAAACAATATAATTAAATATGACAAAAGATATGAAGGAAAACATAATTTTCTTTGAAACGTGCTCGAAAAAAATTAATACATATAATTAATTTAAATTGTTGAAAAAAAAAATCAAATATATTCAACATTTACAAAATGTTTACTAAATAAATTACATTTATATCAAATAACAGATCTTATAACATTTAAAATATCCATTACTATTAAATTTTTTAATTCCAGCATTTTAATAACATGAAAGAACATGTTTTTCATAATTTAATATTTTCAATTAAAAAAATATTTGTAATTGGAAAAGAACAATAATTGCAACATTATAAATTTATATATTTATATTGTATTTTTATTTTTTTAGTGTAGAATGGTTTTATTAAACCATTCCAATTTTATATAACATACAATGTATAATATAACCAATTAATAATATATATTGTCTACTTAAGTAATTAAAAATAATAAATTTAATTTTAATATCAACTATTCATTTAGCTTACCAAAACTCTTTAATTTTTCAGATTTAATTGTTTATTGGTTCTTTTTTAATACAACAGACCCTTGGTTGAATCTAGAAGTTTTTCAAGGGGGGCACTAAATAATATTTAGATATTAATATTAATTTTTTGTTAATAGTATCATTGCGCGACGATAATTCAAGAACGGTACGCGTCCCCTATACCTTTCCACTAGGTACATCACTGCATCTTACTTGACCAAATTGATTGAACTCAAGTTAACCATAAGGTAAAGAGAATTTTATTTAATAGTATTTAAATCTCACATCACGGACTAAAGTATAATGTATGTATGGTTATATTTAGTCAAATTGGTCAAGTTTCGAAAAAAAAAAATATTATTATTTTTATAAAATTTTAAGCATGGTACATATTTTATTAATGTATAACTGCAGTGGTCGAAGTGGCTCAAAATATGTGGAGGAATGCCCTCCATTTTTGTCGATAATCTGAATACACATTGAATAATATAAAGGGGGATGTATTATTATAGAGATAATAAGTAGAGGTATGAAAAATGTAAATTAAAAAAAGTAGAGGGATGGCATCCCTCCGTATCCCCCCCACGTCGACCACTGTATAACTGTAATATAGTTTAGATGATATTAAATATATCCTGTGATTTCACAAATGGCAAAAAAATACAGTTAATTCTTAGACACGGATTACTCGTTAATATTTTTTAAAAAATAGATACCAAACACATCAAAAATGCCAACAAATAAACATCATTGACTGATGTATCGAAAACGATAGTAAAAAAAGAAACTTTCTGTCTGCACGCTGTGAATAATAATGCAGTGTTTATGGCGCACACAAAGTATTCAACAAAAGGGTCGGAGGGATGTGCAAAAGACAAGCGGACAGAGTATTATGAAATATGAAACAATATTCTACGGGTGTGTTGTAAACGTGACTAGAATATTTTACGATGGCGGCATCGTTTTGTGAAAACCTACAGGAAAGGTTCAGATTTCTTTACTTTATTTTTTAATTTTTACTATGTTGATTTTTCTCTGAGGTAACGTTTATTTAACCTTGTATAGAATATTTTTTTAACACTATAGGAATACATTTTGTAGTAATCAAATGTAATCTTTAGAAATTACTATTATTGCCATACACTTTACATCAAACGTCTTCTTTTTTTGTTTAATGAGTATACATTGTATGTAATAATTTCAAATCAATATTAGTTTGTAATGTAAAAGCTTTCCAGTTTTTTTCACAAAAATAATTTAATACTGAATACTTTTACATCATATATAAAAACCGTCATTAATATTATTGATATTTACAGTTATTAAACAATATTTACATTCATAGTTTAGTAGTTGTAAATTACTAAGCTGATGGCCTATATACGAAAAAGACCCTAGGTTTTCATAATAGTCGCAATTTCAACAAAATTCTTAAATGAGCAGTTCATATTAACTTTTACCCCTCTAAATGTTTTTCCTATATAAATATATTAGTAGTTTTTTCTGATATTTTGCAGGGGCTAACTCCTTCAATCCCTTCCTCTTTTGCGTCTATGGCCTTCTTCCTAACTAAATAAGCTCGTAAATTACTGTGCAAAAGACTGAAATTGAGCTCGCATTTACCATGGATTACTCTATGGATGACTGAAAAGACTTATGCTTCTTGGAAATAGTTTATTACACAGGACAGTAAAGTTATTTATAATCTTATCGTTGGTTTTCCAAAATAATTAAATTACAAATGTGTTAGTATAAAATACTACACGCACGGTCAAAAAGCATAAATATAATACAAAAAAATATGAAATTCGATTTTAACCTTTAGGTAGATTTAATGGAGTTGTACTGTATAAACAGTTACATGCAAATTAATATAGTAAATTAAGTCGCATAGTTTTAAGTGCATACACAGACGCAAACGCGTCATACGTATTGTTTATAGTGACATCAACTACATGATTCATTGCAACTGAATATTTGTCTTATCAGGATAATTAGAAGTAAGTGAAAACATTTATTTATAAAATGAATCTATAATAATACTTTCACCTGAGAATTTTTAGTAATAAACAATTAGAGTGAGAAAGGTCGTCGGAAACGAACTGTCTAAAATAATTGCTTAAAAGACACAATATTTACAAATTATATAGATTCGTGTGCAGGAATTAAATAGTAAATTCTTGTTGTCCTTTTGTCGTCTTGCGTTCACATATATAAGACACACTCCTGTAGACATACATACCCCGAGATCCTTTCACTTTTATTCCATTATTGTCGATGACCGTTTACCGATCACGACGTCCTAAACCAAACAACCAACCAATCGTACTTATTGTTTATTACATACATTCTTTCTATTAACAATAATGACCAGCACAAAATTTTCTCTGAAATTGTAGGTTAAGGTGAGTTAGGATGACGAAATTAAGCTTCAACGATTTTTCTTGGCTTCTGTGAATTTATTTAAAATTTGAAATTTCTATGAAAACTACTGTTATATCTAGCCTAACACTACATCTATTTTTTTATCTTCTCAGAGGAAAAGTATAAGTTATCCTTATACCAAAACTATTGTAAAATATCTTTTCAGCTTCACATTAAAGCTAACAAGTCAACAGGTTTTAAGTAATACTTTAAGAATATTTAAAATAGGAATTTGAAAAATTTTCTCTAAAATACTAATATTTGAAGATTTGATGATTAAAAATTACATAATAACGCACTAAATATCAATTTTTAACCACAACTAAAATTAATGTACATGCAAGTACATTNGTAATACTTTAAGAATATTTAAAATAGGAATTTGAAAAATTTTCTCTAAAATACTAATATTTGAAGATTTGATGATTAAAAATGACATAATAACGCACTAAATATCAATTTTTAACCACAACTAAAATTAATGTACATGCAAGTACATTAGTATGTTTATACTATTGAGTTTTATTGTGCACCACATAAGGTTTTTATGCTAGTTAGAATGTACTGCTGATGTGGTTGATTTTGAGAAACACATAATTCGTTGTCTTATTCTGTCATATCCTAAATTAGATTTATTTTAACTTATTTTTTTCGTAAATGTATAGAATAATCTTTAGGAAGCATTTTGCGAAAAAATTGGAAAAATATTGACCACCTCAAGTTATGCCCTGTATTTCAGAGCAAATTTTTGCAACATTGAAATCCAATAATAATATGTAAATGCTCTAAATTGTTTGATGAGAGAGAGTTGGTCCATGATTTTATTTTAGTATTTAAAATCTATAAAAATACAACATATAAAATATTGGAAAAAGGTGATTTGAAAATAATTTCTTTATTTAGTGATTCTTAATAAATGAATGAATCAACTTTTGTCACTAGATAGCGGTATAATAAAAAGTCATAACTTAATGAAAATTCTCGTTCGAAATCGAAGATTAGATCAAATTAATTATTAATTAATTGCTTTAATTATATACGTGTATAAATAAAATAAAATGGTTTAGTTTCCTTGTCTAAAAAGTTGCGTTGTATAGTTAACATTTGCATGTTCAAATTTTTGAATACAAAAACACAATATTTTTATTTATCATTTAATAATTATATTTGTCTTTTATATTAAAATGCTGCTTATGCCTTTTACATAAAAAAACGAGAAGAGTAGTTTCAATGTAGAATTCCTAGTCTAAAACTACTACTTAAAAGTTCAACTATATGAAGTTTTAATTTAAAATGACAATTTTGATGGTATATAACTACAATTTTTCGCAATTAAAAAATTATAAGTAAAATAAATGAATGAATAAAAATGTTAATTTCAAAATATTTTCACATTTTCTCAATACTAGTATTTTAAACGTTTACCCATTATTATATTGAACCAATTCCAAAAAACCCGCCTTTTTTTAGCATTATAACCTTTTGTTTTTTTTATCGTTGTTCGTACATGTCTCGAACACTTTACCCATAAATTTGGACTTGTGAGGGCCATAAAAATCAATATTAGATATAGAACGATGTTGATGACTGAGTAAAAACTCGTTTTCGTTTAGTGGCAATTATAAACACACATTTGTACTCAATAAAAAAATATCTAGCATAAATATTTAGCAGAAAATTTCCAGCAACATTATCAAGTGTTATTAGAGTATTAATATAAACCAAGTGTCATAAAATCTAACGACCTTAAACTTAACGAAGATCATTTATATATTATTAAATTTTTTATTGTGTTAACATGTAAATTTCATCACATACATTATTCGAGGAGCAACAGTTGCAATTAACACTAATTGTCTGGTTTAAAAAAATAGAGAAAAGCCTTAAATATCTTCTTTTAAAATGTCATTGAAATTTCGTAAGCGACATAATATTGCTGATATTATGAGCAATTTTATTTTAGGTATGTTAATCTTAAAAATACAACGCTTGTCTGTGAAATTGTATTAACATTAGTATTGGTGTATAAGACATTTAATTATTCGTTTTGCAGGCCAATTACAGGAAATTGTATCTAAACAAGTACAATAGGTTTATTCATATATTGTGTGTATGTACGGGAAACAAAGGGAACTGCTGCAATAAAAACCAATTGCATCACACAGATTCGTCGTTATTGTGCTATAAGATAAAATGTGTGAATTGTAAGTCTTCCGGAAAGTTGGGATGTAATATCAAAACCCGTGTCCCTCATATTCCTATTCTTAAGGGTAAATGCTAATTCTCATCTAATTTTGTTTGTTTTTAATCTATAACTGTCCTCGTGAAATTATATTAAATTAACTAAACCACCGCACTTTTGTCGCATTAACATTAACCACATGGGTCACATTTGAAAATGCTAATTGTGTGTCCTATATACAAATATAATCCCTCCTATGCACTGGACTTCACGCGCCTGCCTATATCTCTTCACCGCTTTTAATAATTATTAACGCGCTTTCTGTTTATATATGTCTCCGCCGAAGTAACTATCCGCAAAACTTATTTAATAAACAATGTGCTAGGTATGCGTAGGCAGTTACGGTAACGGGCTAACAACGCAACAAAACATACGGCAGTAATGTGCTGCTCAGTTGCCATTGCAGGATACGATAAACGGTATTATAGTTTGACAACAAATGCCGGTGGTTAGAAAACTATGCACAGCCAACCTCAAGGGTCGGTGTGTTATTGGTATTTCTGGACCGATGATTTGCCAAAAACAAATTTTCTACTAGACCCAATATTTAAATACAACTAGTCGTAAAGGACAATTCTATTTTGTTGGTCTATTCGAATATTTCAACGACCAAGTTGTTGATAATTAGACGAATGCAATTCATACATTTAGCATCCTTAACGCGTTATTTGGATCGGAAATACTTCATAAAATGTTCGTGTCATTCACGTTATTTCATTTATATGATAGTAATTACCATAACGTTAATTGTTTACGTGTTATATAAAACCAAGTTCAACTGTAACGCTGTAACGCTTGAAATATTTTGTATCTTACATTATCTTCGTTTACTGCTTACAACTCAGACAAAATGTGTTGCACGATCTGTGTACAATGAATGCCCATAAGTTATATCTGGTTAGAACTTTGTGAAAATTAGTAAAAAGTTTTTAGTCTTCAGGATGAGTTTTAAAATATTTCAAAATAAATGGACCATTACCGTAAAGAAACATAAAAGTTATTTTTATTATGTCATTTCAACAAATAAAAAAGTAACAGACTTGTATTATAAATTATAAAGCGTACTTACTTAAATTCCCCACTGTCTACTTTGTTTGCCTTAGGTAAAAGATTTACACTTTAATCATTATTTTAATGCGCTCATAAACTCAAGGTACATTATCAATTGTTGATGATTTATTTCTTAAAACATGAATATTGTTATTGAAAATTTGCTCTTCAATTTAATGGAAAGTAAAAAGTACTTATTAGAAAATTATGATTTTCGTTGAATAAGTATTAACACATTATATTAAAATATATGTTTCAATTCGATTCTTTCTAAAATAAGTATTTTAAAGAAGAATTTTATTGACACACATACGTTTTGATATATTTACGAAATTTTAAAAATCAACGATTTCTATACATTAAGTTTTATTTGAACAGATACAAAAAAATAGAAGCTGCATTTGTAGTTCGACTAGTTATAAATATTTGTGATTATAAAAAATAATGCATACACATTATGTTTGTCGACAACGCAATGAAACAGATAACTTTACATACTTTTATCATTTTTTCATTTAGTCTTGATGTTAAATTTTTAAAAACTTTAATTAGAATAAGGTGTTTAGACAAAATTTTATTATTTTTTTTTTTTGTGACTTTACGACTGAAAATAACCCTTAATGCCAAGAAAAGCAAAATCATTTTAAAATAAATAATGATAATTCAATGTAGTCACGTAGAATTTGGATTTTCAAAGTTCTTTCCTCACATCCAACATGTATGCAATTAATTTATCTGAAAAGTAACTTTCATTAAAAACGAAGAAAATATATTAGTAACGCGTGAATCGAATGATGTGCTTTTCAAATGAAATTCGCTAAACTATTACAGAACAAGTAAACTGAATTAGGAGTTTTATATAGGTAACTTAAACGCCAGGAGCCAGTGCGGATATCATAATATCAATAAGAAAATAAGAAAACATAATGTTTATCGACGTGAGCGCGAGTACACCAAAAAAAATTCAAAGTGATTTGTCAAAATGAAGTAGTGAATTCTATACTTATTAATTATTTGTAAGTCTATAAAAAGGAAACTGTTAGAATTCAATTTTTGAATTTTATGTGGTTCAGTTTTAATTATTTCGATAATTTTTTTTACATTATTAAAACTATTTCCCCAGGTAAAATTTCTTTATTATCGATTTAGTATTGTCTAATGATATAATTTTAAAAGTATTATTAATTATAATTGTAAGTATCTATCCGAAAATATTTATTTTATAGTATAATGTATAACTAAGAGTTATATTTAATTCAAAATATGTATTATTTTGTTCCCAAGTTAAGTTATAACAGAAAACTATAAAATTACTTTTATAAGTTTTTACTGGTAAATACAAATGATACTATTGTTAATTTATTCGATTTTAAACTTTAATAAGATTTTGAAATTTCTTATAATATTTTACAATAAAATGCTTGAAAATTAAAAATTTTAATATTAAGCATTTTATGGTAAAATATATTGATGGACATTATCGAACAGTTTTGACTACTGGGTATATGCGATAGATATTAAAGAACTATCGAATAATCATTTGATTGTGATTATCTACGACTGACAAGTTTTAGACTATTGAACTGACGAATAAAATGTTCGATAGTTTTCATTCGTATAAAAACTACCTTATATTCTACTTTAACATTGGACATTAACATATTTTATGATCAATGCTTAAAATTTGATTTTGGATCATGGCTTAGTTGACCAAAATAATCTCAACACATATTTTATCCATAGGAAGAATGTTAAATTTGTAATTTCATTTGATTGTATTGTCGAATTAAAAAAAAAAATACGTTTCATACACATGAAACCAAACTATTACATTTTCTAAATATTACTATGTTGCATTTATGACAATAAATGGTTATAATATATAAACGCTTATATTAAAATCGTTAGAGAGAGGGAAAAAAGTGTTAAAATAAATAATGTTAGTTTTACAATTTGGTACTTTTAAGTTCTAAGGAACCTTTAGTTTTATTCATAAACATCAAAGAACCTTTTAATGATTTTTATTAATAAACAATTTTGTTCAAATTTACAGTTGGCTTGAAAGGATTTTCATAAGATTTAGTTTACAAAACAGCATATTTCCTATAATACTTAGGTCAAACAAAATGTGTTGTTCTTAGGTTCCAACACTCTGTTATTAAGTTATAACATGTACAACGATATTGTCAAGCAAACGAAAATAATATAATTTATGCGTTGAAAAAAATCGTGCACACTATAAAATAGATGACTGCAGTTTGTTGTGCATTATTAAGATGTATTCCTTACCCCCAAGAATCAAGAGAAAGCGCAATAAAGCTTAGAGATAAATTAAACATCTCGTTTACCGTAATGGACATTGTAATTTATATGGCAGATTATGCAACACATAAATTTACATCATGTAATTACTTTCCTGACTTTTACTTCTAAAGTGTAAACAAAATTTTATTACTATAATTATAGGGTGAACACTATCGATTAAAAAATACTTTTGCAAATAAAATTATAATTTTACAGGATTTAATGAAACTAGAAATGAGAGGAGTGCGTCACATTGTACAGTTATACACATAATTTAAAACAATGAATCTGTTATCAAGAATTTTTTTTTTAATGAATACTGGCCACAAAAAAAAAATGTACGGCCGACAATTTTTTCAGACAAAAATTTTTGTTCAGTTAACAAAAATGTCGTCAGCTGTAAAATAACAATACATTTATTAATTATTAAATAAATTTTCTGTGTACATCAAAAAAATTAATTTGTAAGAAATTATCTATTTAAAAAATTTGAAAAAATAAGAAATTCAATTTTTTTTGTTATTTAAAATAAATAATAAAATATATGCTTCTAACAAAGTCTCATAACACAGAAATTAAAAAAAAAATGTATCGAAAAATAATTATTCTATCAAAAGTTATTAAGATGTCAAAATTGACGAAATTTAAATAAATTTGGGATTGTGTGGTGTGGCGCTGACAAAGTGCACATACACCGGGAAAAGCTTGTACTGTTCTACAAACTTACTTTATGTATGAAAAAACTATAACGGATGATCGGTCCATCGGATAACAAAACTTGTAAGAAAAAATAAAAAAATTTCTATTATATCATCAAACTAAAAATAAAAGCTCTAAAAAGAAAATTAAAGTTAAGATTTCATCTCACAGCCTAAGTGTCTAAGTAAGACATTTAATAATATAAAGAAATCCTTTTAAGGTACTCCAAACTTTAGATTCGGTCTTGTCAATTTCACAAAAATATGCATTACATTTATTTGGTTAACTTAAGATGTACTGGTTTAGTAGGTTATAAGAATCTAGTAAAAAAGGAAATAATAAAAGGAAAAACCACGAGGCATCAACTTTTATGGTTGGATAGTAAAATTGTAATAATTGTCATGATAGTCAAATAAGTAACGATCGTACTCCAATGGACCGTGCTTTTGGTCATATCCCAAAGGGCTACTAGTATAAAGACTTTTTATTGAGATTTCATTTTTATTTTAGCCGTAGTACAGCATATTATATTGTTCTTTGTTTAAAATTTACACAGGAAACAAATTCAATAACAATAAACTATTGATTTAATAAAAAAGCTTCCACGTATAATACATGAATTATTTTACACATAAAATTTTTGTTGATCGTAAAAAATAAAATAAAACGACTAGAAATAAGATTTTTAATGTCTGATAACTAGATTTAAATCGATGAATGAATTAACTAGTACATGCAGACCGATCATACATTTAAAACGAAAAATAAAACTCTTGACATAAATAATAAAAGTTTCCCTCGACATGTCAGCAAATTAATAGTTATTTTACAAATTGTAAAAATTAAGGTGTAATAAAAATTTTAATATGAACAAGTAGAAATTCGTTAAAATAGTTTGAAATGAAACACACTGAATTTTTTGTACTTAATGGTACAACACTTATTAATTAAATATTATACTGACAAAGAGCCAAAGTAAAATTTCAATTGACTAGGCAGTGATTTATTTTAACTAGTAAACTAAGCGACACGTTTACATATTATTTTTATAATCTTTTTAAACAACAATATTTCACTATTTTAATAGAATTGTAACGTTATGCTTAATTCGTTATATATTTTTACAAATAAATTATTATTATTCCTTTTGTCAACTGTAATAACCAATAACAGAGTGAAATAACCAAGAATTTTAAGTTTGTTATAGATCTGTATTTTATGTAACCTTTACTATGTTTTGCATTTAGTAAAAATGATCAAATTATGTCATTAAATGACGTATATTTCAAAATTTATTTATTATAATGATTCAATAAAAGTATTTTTATTATTAAGTTTATTATTATAAGTGGGGTTAAACCCAAAGTTAACTTTTGGGTAAAATAAGTATAACATGGAAATAAATATTTCAATCTCAACACTTTTTTTTATATCAACAATAGTGATAAAATTAAATAATAAAGCAATATTTTTTCATTTTCAAAATGTAATTATATATTAGTTCTTATGAAATATAAATATTTCAAATATTTCTCCTGGAAAATGATAAAAATTTACTGAAAATATTTATTTTTTGACCTACACACAGGTATATTAATTTAATATAGGGTAACTATAAAAAAAGTATGGATTCACGGCGTGTTTCATATAAAAACAAATATATTCTTATAAATAATCAAAACATTAATAATGCCCTACAAGTCAAGTGTAAGTATGAAAAATAGTCACTAAATATATTTTACTTTTGTGATTTTCTATTTTATAATCATAATATATCATTCAATGTAAATAAAACGTTCGTTTGTCGTTTTATATTTCAAAGGATTTACAATAAATATTTCCAAATGAGATTTACAGGATTAAGTATAAGTATCGTTTATACAAACGTAAGTAGATGTCAGAAGATTTTACGTCTATAGTAGTATTAAATAAATAATGTTTTATGGTAATAAAATAGTTAGTATTTTACGACTTATAACTAGAAATGTAATTATAGTTAAAAGCTTATTCATTAAAAACAATCAGTTGTTTATTTTTTGTTCTATTCTATTCACTCTTTATGATTGAATTGAATTTAATAAAGTACTTTGTGATTTTATATAATAGTATTTCTTGACTTTTTTGTGATATTATTTAAGTAATCAACTCTATGGCATTTTCCAAATAACGCACAATAAAAAAAAATCTATTTTGAGATTATTTATGGTTGATAATTATTGGTACTGTTTACTTTTTTTCATAATAAAAATATTGATGTGTATTAATGTTAAAATCTTTGTTTTTGCTCTAGTCTCTAACGTAAAAAAGTTACTTTATGGTTTTAAAGTGATATTATTTTCTTCGAATTTATTACTAACCATCCATAGACTCCCTACAAGATTGCGCCTATCCATTTGAAAGATAAAAGCTTATTTATAGTTTTTATTTATGAAATATCTTTAAATTTTAATTAAAAAAATAATATAATAAAATGAATCAAAATGACATAACATTCATACATGAATTTTACATATGTATAAAATAACTTTTATTTTATATTAAAATTCAATTCTGCCACTAAAAAGTAAACTTTGTGTTATACTTTCGAAATAATGGTAAAAATGGTTTTAAATCTAGTTTAAATCGTTTTTTACATAATATCTTAATTAATAGACAAAAATAATTTAAACAATACGTTTTTATTACATTGAAAATGAATTTAGTGTAAAAATTGCAATAAAAAAACAATTCAATCTTACCTTGAACTATTATGTATCTTAAATAAAAAAAACAATCAAACTGTTTAATATATACTATAGTAAATATCATTAAATTCTATTGTAATTACCATTTCAAAAAAATACAATTTATTTTGATAAAAGTAATAAATGTGTAAAATCCATCCAAGACTATCAATTCTAGTAAAAAATTACTTATAATGATATCTCACTTAGATTCTAATACAGTTTACGCTTGTGTGCATGATTTTTGTAAAATCAATTTGAATATTTTATGTAAATTCTTTTATAGAAATGATAGAAAATTTAAATTCTCTGTACTATTATTATCTCTGAGTGAATTACATGTATTATATGAATTCCAGGAACATCGAATAACAATGAAAAACAAAAGAAATTGAAAATACGCTAGAATACTCCTAATACTCGTTAAATAATTTCTTTCACATAGGAATAATATTAAAGATAAAATAATTCATTTATCCATAGGAAATTGGTATGAGCAACAAGAGGATTTTGCAAATCAAATATTATTGACATGCTTATTTGCTGAATGAATTAATTTTCGCTAATTTACTTAACATAATAATTAAAATAATTTACTTTAATATCCAATTTATATGGTTTTAAGATACATAAATTCTTATGATTTTTTCGTTATGAGATGCAAATTATTTTGATAGGTTTAATAATTTAAAAGAATTATAAAATTTTTCAATACAATTGAGACACATAGTAAAACATTATTCTTTTATTATAAACCCTCTCAGTTAGTAATTTTAACAAATAATGCTTTCAGGGATGATTCATAATTAAAGAACTACTCTGTATACAGAGTAATAAATTAAGAATATTATCTTCAATTTTTTCCTTATATAATGTTATTTTTTTTTTTAAATGTACAAGTTAAAATTTTATTTTATTTTTAAACTTTAATAAATATCGAGTTTATTATAAGAAAAACTTTTTCTAAAGGTATATTTTAGAAGTAACTTTTAGAAATTATATAGGAAATTATTTACTTATATATGAGGTATGCTTTAAATGATATGAGTCTAGTCATAATCAAAGTTATAATACTACTTTTTAAGTTAAAGTTACAGTTTTTAGTTATAATCTATATAGTTTTTAATAATAATAAAATAATTCTTATCTGAGCGTTATCGTATAAATAGAACAGCTCTAAACACCAACTCGCTCCTCACCTTTTTTAAATATTTAAATGTTAATATCTCAAAACGTAACATTTTTAAATTTGTAAACTTGATAATTTCAATTAAACTATCTTTAAAATCTAAAGGACTTATAGTGAACTTCAGACACTTCTTTTTTATATCTCGTAGTTATTTTTGTGGAGAAACAAAAACCCTCATAAAATTTATGAAAATGATCCGAGCCTCCTGTAAAAAAATATTAAATGAATTACAGGGGATATAATATATTATATATGTATTATTTAGGAATAATAATATTTATACAAAAATAGTAATACAATTTTTGGACAAAGGATTTTAAGAAGGGTCAACGAAATTCATAAGTGGATTTAAATGATTAAATTAATGAAAATTTAAATGTTTAGAATAAGACTGTTTAAAAAAAAAAAAATAATAATAATAATAATAAAATTGATTATGAGGAAAATTGATAAGTTAGAGAATATAAACTCAGCACATTTTGTATGTATAGTTGGACACATTTTTTTTATGAACTTTAATTAGGTGTAAGTTGAAAAAATGTAGTTGTTTGGGTATATTTTCAAAAGTCGTGCAGAATAGAATTTTTCATAAGTGGGTGGTTTTTTTCTTACCCTTCTTGTACATAGTTTTTCTATTAAATTTTCAAAGAAATCCCATTATTTTTTTTATATTTTACTAACATTTTATTAGGATCAGTATTTTTAAAAATATGTTATAGGAATTTTTAAATTCAGAAAAAGATTGATCAATGTCATTTTTTACGTTATTGTAAATTTGAGATATTTTTGT